CTCCCCTTCCTTCCTTCCTTTCTTCCTTCCTTCCTTCCTTCCTTCCTTTCTTCCTCCCTCCCTCCGTCCCTTCCCTCTTCCCTCCCTCCCTCCCTCCCTTCCCTCTTCCCTCCCTCCCTCCCTCCCTCTCTTTCCTCCCTCCCCTTCCTTCCTTCCTTCCTTCCTTCCTTCCTTCCTCCCTCCGTCCCTTCCCTCTTCCCTCCCTCCCTTCCCTCTTCCCTCCCTCCCTCCCTCTCTTTCCTCCCTCCCCTTCCTTCCTTCCTTCCTTTCTTCCTTCCTCCCTCCGTCCCTTCCCTCTTCCCTCCCTCCCTCCCTCCCTCTCTTCCCTCCCTCCCCTTCCTTCCTTCCTTCCTTCCTTCCTTCCTTCCTTCCTTCCTTCCTTCCTTCCTTCCTTCCTTCCTTCCTTCCTATCAGTCTTAATTCCTTAACTGCCTGGACAAATCCCTGCAAATTTTCTTGGCAAGATTTTTGGTTGTGGTTTGCTCTTGCCTTTTTCCAGGGAGGGCTTAGAGATAACATAGAACAAAATATCAGAGTTGGAAGGGACCTTGGAGATCTTCTAGTCCACCCCCCTGCTGAAGCAGGAGGCCCGATACCATTTCAGACAAACGGCTATCCAGGCTCTTCTTGAAAACCTCCAGGGATGAAGGAGAACGGGCCCATGGTCACGCCAGCAAGGGTTGCAAGGCTGGCCTAGAAGTCGGGTCGCCCAGTTTCTGGCCTGCTTCCTTTAACCACTGCACCAACTGGCTCCCTCCATGTTGCACTATAAACCAGTAAGCAGGACTGTGTACTTCATATATAATGCACAGCTGCAGCCTAACCGGATTAAATTCAAAATGAAACCTCAGAAGGAAAAGAAAAATGTATGTGATGCATTCCCAGAAATGTTTCAGCTTTTCTGAGGTCTCTTCTACTAAACTCCAAAACTCAGGCATCAGTGCCATTCCAATGAAGTTAACCTAAGTGGTGCGGCCAGGAAGAGAAGCCCTCAACAAGGTTTTGGGAGGACCAAACAACATTTCAAGATACTTTCCCCTACGACTCTTTTGCTCTCTCGGTCCCAAACAACGGAGCTGGCATCTTTGCCCTTCCTTCCTTCCTTCCTTCCTTCCTTCCTTCCTTCCTTCCTTCCTTCCTTCCCTCCTTCCTTCCTCCCTTTCTTCTTCCTCCCTTACTTTTTTCCTTCCTTCCTTCCTTCCTTCCTTCCTTCCTTCCTTCCTTCCT